AGGAAAGCTTCTTCACCTTCAGATTCTAACTTACAAGTTAAACCATAGAACTGTGGGCAGATGCTTATGGTTTCATTCACCCATTTAATGATTTAATCATTTATTCACTCAGCAAATTTATTAAGCTCCTTCTGTATGTCAGGCACTCTGTAGGGATACTGAAGATACCGTGTTCCATTATTGATATCTGCCTAAAGGACCCTTGCACCAATGGTTAGCTTGATTGACTATGTATGTTAAAACATGGTGCCAAGAAAACCTAAGTTCTCAGTTATATCTCTGTAGATTTTGTTCCCTTAGCTCAGACATCAAGGATGTTTAGGGGGCCCTGAGCCAGGGTGACTGTAAATGGTATAAATTGGCACACAGGTTGCCACACCAATGAGGTAGTGCCATTGGCACCTAGCATGGGGCCTGGTGCTAACAATCTTGTCATGCAAGGGGCCATCCCACATGGCCAAAAAAGGCAGTAACCCTCCTGTTGATGAACCCTGGTCAGCTTTACTTTGACCAATGACTACTCTCTAGCCCTGTCCAGCAGTCTGACTTTAAAAAAGGGATATAGGAGCTCCTGGGTGGCTCAATCAGTTAAGCGTCTGCCTTCAACTCGGGTCATGATCCCTCTCCCTCTGCCTGCCGCTCTGTGTGCTTGTGCTCTCTCTCTCTCTGTCAAAAACTAAATCTTTTTTTAAAAAAGGGATATAAACGGAATGCCTTTACGTCAGTATTCTTTCCAGTCTTTCCGCATGATCCTTTGGGCTCTCCAGAGACCCTTGACTTGCTCCTCTGCTCTCCAGATTGTGTCCAGAAGGGCAGCTATTAGGGCAGCACAGATGAGAACAAACCCTTTTTCCTTCTTGTGCTATGTGTTCTTGGGAAAAGTCTTTAATTTTCATTACTTCTGTTTTCTCCTCTATAAAATGGAAATAGCACTAGTATCTACCTCATGGGGTTATTGTCTTGTAACCTATAGAAACTTAGAACAACACTTGGCCTTGGCACGTAGTGAGCACCCAATGGATATTTGCTGTTATTGTTCAACAATATAGAAGGCAGTGTGCTGGACGCCATGAAGGTAATAGATGAACACATCACCATCATAGCTTCTGTCTTGGAGGAGACATGCCTGTCACCCAAATGCAAGGCAGCATATGATATGTTTTTTGACAAAAATCTGACTGTCGTGATTCTTTGCTAACATGACTCCAGCTAATGTTGGAAGCCCTAATGTTCTAGAGATTCTGCTCAGAGCCTTGGATTACAGGTCTGGTGGCTTCTACTCATTGGGTTTATTCTTCAGCTTTATACTTAGTGTTTGGGAGGAATTTCTTCTTTTTCCAGGGGACATTCCTGGCCCTGCCTTGGTGAGATTACCTCCTACTGTGAGTTAGCTGCACCCTCCAACTTGGCTGCGTCCTGAGGGTCCTGGCTTTCCCCCACCACCTCGGGGCAGTGGTTCTAATCACTGTGTCATTGCTGGTTCTTGTGTTAATGTGGTACTGTTTGATCTTCTAAAGCCCAGTTTTGGACTCTGTTGTCTGCTTAGCCTCATACTCAAGGCTGTAATCCTCCTGAAATTTTATGAATGTTTCATCCAATATGAAACCACTTTCAACTATTTCTGATATAAATCATAAGTATATAGACTAGGAAGAAAAGAACAGTGCATTCGGCTGGATAACACAGAATGAATCAACATCCCTATAAAGAACAATAATAGCAACAAAAGTATTTATCTTTTTGATATGTGAAGTCTCAACTTCTCATGATTCTAGGATTATCTTATTTTTTCTCTGGAAGCCCTAAAGTTCTAGAGATTCATAAATGGTAATTAATGCTTCAGATATATAATTGATATGCCTTATATCATAGCAGAACTCTAACATTAATTTATTCACAAAATCTCTACTTAGTTAATTAACAGTTTATTCATGAGACTGATTTAATTTGACTTTGTATGAAATTTTACATAGCATGCTAAAATTTTTTTAAAAATCTTTAATAACTACTGCTTAATTTTGTGCTCCATTAAACAATAATGTCAGTATAGAAATGTGTTAAAGTTAGAAAATTCAATAGCTTATCCTCAAGGCAGCATGTTCTATTAGAACTCCATTTTTTCCTTCCCAGACATTTATTATACATATAACAGAAATGATAAAATGGTTTCATTTGCACAAGGATATTTTTAAATAATGGGAAGAATGAATGTTAGAAAATGAGAAAGAGTGCTGTCAGAGATGCTTAACATAAAACTCTGTACACCTTAAATTTCTTTAACAGCTAGAATAGTTCACTGAAAATTACAAGAATGCTAGACCCCAAGAGTTTTTAATATTCTTCTTTAAATACAAACATCTAAAAATAAAACCTATTGCCATAGAGAGCCAAATTTTAATGTTTTCTTTTTCCTTTTTAAGTGCATGTGAAGTCCAGACTTAGAGTAAATGGACAGCATGATCTTCTGACTTGGTAATTCATGTAATCATTACTTCAGTACTCCTTAATTGAGCAAATATTATGGGTTAGATGCTATGGTAGCAAAGATCAGTAAGTTGTGATTCCAGTGATTTATGACATGACAGTTCTCTTGGAATATACAGTATGCTTAAGGAGCTACTATAAGCAGCAATTTCATTAATGGCAATAAGCTTTTTTTTTGGCAATAAGCTTTTTAATCAATATTTGTTAAACACTTTACAAACCACACTTGTGTGTAATACAGAGTTTCTAGGTACCTGTGATCAAAAACAAAGATAAATATGGATATATATCATGTTTAACTTAGTCACATTCATTCAAAGGAAGAAATCCCACAAACTGTTATTATCATTGTAGGGATGATAATGGGTTTGTTGGAAATACCTTCTATCTAATATTCAGTTATTTTGTATTATAATTTATCTCGGGTACATTATGTGATTGCATTATTATTGTTATTCTAACTGGGGATAAAAACTTGCTGAACTGTTAAATGAAATTACATGTACATGTAACCGTGGTTTTCAGAACAAGCCCATACGAAGCTTTAAATAATTTTAGAGGCACATTTTATATGTAAAGACTAAAAATAATGACTCCAGCATTAAAGGTCTTATAAATATCCAGGATGCTATGAAGAAAAGTCAAAGTTGCATAAACTTTCAGACACATTAAGTTTTTAGTATTGCCTCTTTTCCTTTAGGAAAGGAAAATACAGAAGAAAATAATAACTTGTCATCTCTGGAACATGTTATTATTTAATGATGCTTTAGAACTTATTAAAGCAAATGAAATTTTTTAAAAAAGCTATCTTAAGAGGGGCACCTGGGTGGCTCAGTCGTTAAGCGTCTGCCTTCGGCTCAGGTCGTGATCCCAGGGTCCTGGGATAGAGCCCCGCATCGGGCTCCCTGCTCAGCTGGAAGCCTGCTTCTCCCTCTCCCACTCCCCCTGCTTGTGTTCCCTCTCTCACTGTGTCTCTCTCTGTCAAATAAATAAATAAATTCTTTTTTTAAAAAACTCTCTTAAGTGTAATTTTATCTCCCATTCCATAATGAACATACACCAACCTTTATACCTTCACCCAGTGATTTTTCAAATGACTCATGCCTTCTAAACTTCTGGGAAGATTGACAGTGTAATTATTGGAACAGTTACATTGTGTGCAGATTGAGAGATTGAGAGCAGGGGCTGCGGAATGGATGGCCCACCTGTGCCACTTAAGTCTTGGGCAGGTTACTCTCTATACCTCCATGTTCTCATCAATAAACTGAGAGGGGTAAAACTAATCTCAGACAATAATTACAAGGATTTATGAATTAATATAATACTTAGCACACTGTGTAGCACATGGTAAACAAATGTTAGCTATTACAGGGTTAAGCTGCAAAGCTGAAATTTCCTTTTAAAATCAAGCCATATCATACTAGAGGAAGAAATGGCTGATAAATGCATGAGAAAATGGTTCACTTCACTAATAATTAAGAAATATTAACATGCAGTAACTTTTTTCTAACTTTTTTTTAACTAGAAAAAACTGGGCACCTTTACAATATTGGGGGTGCAACCATTGTAGAAGGCAGTTTGCCCTATCCTCATACAGACAAATGTGTATCTCTGTTTATTACTTATTTTAAATAAGGTAAATGTTCTGACATGAAATGGTGCCCATGACCTAAAGTGAAATGAAAAACACAATTAGCCTAATAATTTGTATTTATTGCATGATTCTACTTTTATGAGAAAATAGGTGTTTTGTGTGTGTGTGTTTGCAAGGTATGTTTAAAGATACACAGAAAGTTAAAAGGATATGAATAGTTAAAATTAGTTTATTTTGGAGAGTGGAATTGGGGTTGAGAGATAAGAGAGTGCTTGGTATGCTTCCATTTTTTTTTAATTTTGCTAAAAAAATATGTTAAAAACATTTATTGATGGGGGCGGGAGGGGAACCTAAGCCAGAGAATCACTGGTTAGGGAATTCTAGCCCCAGAGCAGCAGTCTTTTGGACCTGGAGAAGAAATGGATCCCAAAGATAGTTATATCTACTTACATAGAGAGCCTTGAAACCCCTGGTTTGAATGTACTTTGTAGAGTAACTAAATCCGGTTGCTGAGTTGTGGGAAAGTCTTCAGTTAAAGATGGAGGATAGATCTGGCTTCTTAGTTGGCAGGGGATCAGTACTGCCTTCTAGGGACGTTTCCAAAAGCCCTAGGTCTGTGTTCACTGGCAAATACATGGAGCATAAAGGAAATTGGGGTGCTTTACAAAGAAAATCTAGGTAGCACTCAGCCCAAAAGTGGTAGGTATTTTGGAAGGCCACCTCTAGCCCATAAAGGCATGTTTATTGCAATTTAAAAAACAAGCCCCTCCAGAGAGATACAACCTGCAAACACATACTCTACAGGCTTGATAGTAATTTTCAAAGTAATCTGAAAACAAAAATTCTGCATGAACACGGTGCAAGTCCATTGATGCATATATATTTTTCTTTTTTAATGTCAGTATCTTGTTTGTCTTTACAGAGTTACTGGAGGTGAACTGTTTGAAGACATAGTGGCAAGAGAGTATTACAGTGAAGCTGATGCCAGGTAAGTGACTTGCCCGGGGGCAAGATACAAGACTCAACATTCAAATGACACTTGTTCAGTATATCTCTTTACAAATGCATCATAACCCTTAGTATTTATGAGACTCTCATAGTACCATCTTGGACAACTTTTTATGATGAGTCCCTCTTAATTGCTGTTTCTCTCTCTTAAGAATTTCCAGGATAATTGTTTGGGGAAAACAAAACTAGAATCTGGTCTAAACTAGCATCTCCAGTTAGTCTTTTAAAAAATAAATAATAAAATCTATACTCTACCTGGAATGACTTCTGCTAAAGAAATGTACTTTTTTAGCGAGGTTAAGAGAGCAAAAATGCAGATCTTCTGGTCTCTAGATCCTGAGCTGCCCATTATGGTAGCCATTAGTAACACATGGCTATTTTAATTTCAATTAATTACAATTAAATAAAAAATTTAGTTTCTCAGTTGTACTAGCTACATTTTGAATGCTGAGTGGCCATAAGTGGCTAGCGGCTACCAGTTGGACATAGCAAATATAGAACATTTCCATCATCACAGAATGCTCCACTGAACAACCCATGTTTAATCAGAGACCATAAAAACAAACAGACTACAAAAGTCCCAGTGTTCTCCTTTAAGCAGTATTAGCTGTTTAACTCTTTGGGAATTCCAGGATGGCTTTTGGAACCCTCATGTGAAAAATATTTAGTCGGATATTTCAGAGGGTTCAAAAGGATTTCCCAACCTTGTTAATTGGCATCATCTTTACAGAGGTTAACAATGGCTATCCATTTTCTCTCATTTTAAACTTCCTAGGCTACACAAAGTCAACCTTTTTGGAGTGAAGTGACATTAATTTACTTGCCTAGATATTACTTAGACTGTATCATGTTAGTTTTCCTTGGCATTTCTTTATACTCAGTAGTTGGCACTTAATTTGAAAGATCTGGCCTTGAGCTATTGACTCATTATTAACAATGTAAATGAGATGTTATGAAAATTCAATTACTTATTGTCTGCCCCCATTCTCTAATGCCTTCAGAGCTTCCTAAAGCTTGCTAATCCCACTGTAGCCTGTGCTCAGCAGATAGTCAGCTGATAGCCGATTCCCTCCCCATCCCTTCAAAGTTAGCACATGCACACACCGGCTCACTTGCAAATCTCTAATTAATCTTCTTGGTTTTATGCCAGTTTATGACATTCTGTGAATCTTCTCTGTACATGACTACACTCTAATTTTTTAATGGAATTTTTACTGCCAAAGTCAAATACAAACTGACGTATCATTTATACTATCATGCGTGAATCTTAACATGCCCAGTTCACCCCAGTTCTCATGTTAGGGCCCTGAAAGGGAGCTTCAGAGCAGCCTTGCGAGTAGCTATTTGCCCACTTGCCCAGAGAGAGCAATAACTTTAATCAAGGTAGTTAACAAGTTAGGGAATTACATTTATTTTGCTTTTTAAAGTTACGTTAAGCAGGTCATTGTGTTTTAAAAGTAGTGTTTGAAATTAAAATAGAAACTGTTTTCACTATTGAAGAGCCCCTGTAGATAACAGGGGAGACCCTATGGGTTGGATCATTTTATATGCATGTTTATATTAGGTTTTGGAATTCACTAGAAGTGAATATTTTTTAGGGTACATCCTACACAAAATGAAGGAGAAGGAACAGTCTCATCCCAAGTACAAACATAAAGAAAAAGCCTTTCCCTACTAGTCCTCAAGAACCGAAGAATTGAATCCATTCTCACTAGTAAAAAATGATGTTCATTTAATATGAATTATTGTACACTTTATTTTGCATTATTCATTAAGCCTAATAACTTATATCTGTGGTTTGAGAAGAGAAAGTGAAATATTTCTAAAAAGTGGTACAAAGTGAAGGGGGAAAAAGTCATAATATTTAAAAAATAATTACCAACACTCAAATAAGCTATGTGTGGTCAAAAAGCAACCAATGTTTAGCTCTTTTAGTGGGACTCTGTAGAGTTAGAGCTGGAAAATCATAACCTTGATCGCTTTTTTACATTCACATTGTAAGAAATCAGATGGTGATTACTTTTTATAATTCAAGAATTTACTTTGGAGTAATATTATTTTGTGCATTAAATGGTTGAAAATGTCCTTATTAAAATGTTTGTTAATGAATGTAGCTCAGTACATAACATGCATTTGAATCGCACAAATGTAAATTTGGACAAAATGTGTCAGTGTGATCTATATTATTTTATGTCAGATGACAGCTCATGGGACCTTACAGGTGCCTAGCAATGATTTATCCCCTCTAATTTAATTAGCTGTCTGTTTGACATCAGCGAGCCCTTAATAAGAATAGTGTAAATTGTGCTTTTTGACATAGTGATAAGGAAAGTTTTCCTTCACTGTGGTGTATGGAAATATATCTAACAATTACCAGTGTTCCAGGGGATTTTAAAATTTATTTTTTTGTAAGGTCCTAGCCCTTCTCCAGAGTATGCCTATCCTGAAGAGGGGTTTGTTTTATGTCATGGGTTTACTTGAAATTCTCCCTCTGTTACTGGAGACTTGTATTAGTTTCCTCTTACTATATTCTATAAGAAGCACCATTTCTAAGTTGAAATGATAAATGTGTCACTCCATGTTTTTTAACCCTTGTTTCACCTGCCACTTCATCTGTGTTTACCCTCTTGTTTCAACACCTATGTTTAATTGTGACCTCAGATTTTAAACAGTTTAGATGTGTATGAGAAATACCCATAAATTTTATACTGCTGAAGAATTTTCCCAGAACGTTATGGGAATATTTGTGAATTTTTCTCCTCAAATATGGAAATTTTAACTTCAGTGTACAAGTGATTTAATTTGTACATTTTCAATGGAAAAAAAAAAACACAGCTCAAATTGTTTTGTCTGAACATGTCACAAACTCTATGTTGGATGTCATTTTTGTTAGAACCAGAATTAGCTTTATTCAGCATTAATTAAATTCCAGTGTAAAGCTAAAAAAAGATGTTGTGAAAAAATATAATTTTTGTTTGTTTGTTTGTTTCATTTTAACTTTCATTTTATTTTGTATTCAATGTGATTATGTACCTTTAAAATGTTCTCCCTTCCATTCTACCCTTGTATCTTTACAGTCATTGTATACAGCAGATTCTAGAAAGTGTAAATCATTGTCACCTAAATGGCATAGTTCACAGGGACCTGAAGGTCAGTATATGGAGTCCATAAATCTGAATCAAAGGAGGTTTATTTTGGTTTTATTTCTGGGGAAAGGGCAGAGGGTGGGTACTTAAAATGGTTCCCTTGCCTTTCCCAATTTTTCCCTAAAATGACTACATGATGAAATGATAATGCATGATGCCTCTTTCAGTTTGCTCATCTACAGGCTAAATATACATCATAGCAGAAAGGGAAGGACAATATTAGGAGCACAACCTGTCAAGTTTCCAAGCAGTAAACTACCAGAAGCAGTTTGGGAGCAGGCTTTCCTGAAATGTCCAGCATTTGCCTGGAGATAAACTTGGCCTGTGATGTATGTCCGCCTGTAGATTTAAACACCACTTCTGTTCTGAGACCATGGGTTGCTGTAGCAAAACAACTGGTTACACATTGCTCCATTTGAGTCTGATGAACCCTCAGGCAAGAGATAATAATTGCCAGCTAAATTAAAGCACAAGAAGTTAATGATTTATCAAAAATTCATTACGTATCCTAATTTAACCTTAATGGTGCTTTGACTGCTAATGTGACAGCTTTGGAATGATACTAGAAAAATGGGAGGGAATAGGGAAACAGTTTTTTTATGTGGGGTGGAGGTGGACCACAACAGCTATAAAAATTTTATTTGCATTCCAGTTCTTTTCCTATAAGAATTTATAACTAGGAAATGAGCTACTGAATTAAATATTTTTAAGATGGTTTTTTTCTAGATCAAGTGGATCCACATTTTCGCTCACATCCGGCAAGATTCTGATTGCTCTGAGGTAGTAGTCACTCTACTTGAGCAATATGTTTACATTACTGAAGGTGGTAAAACACAACCCCAGTTGTCTGTTGGTTTTGCACTTTAACCCAGTCTCTGTGAGGGTGTACAGACAGTGAGTGTAAGCTTGGAACTAACACACGCCCCCTGGTGTTTGCATGCAGTCATTGCATTCAGCAGATCCTGGAGGCTGTGCTACACTGCCATCAGATGGGCGTAGTCCATCGGGACCTGAAGGTGAGTAATGCCGTTGGAGAAGATAAACCACCACATAATTCCTAATGACTGTTCAGCTGCAGTTATGCCTGTAAAGGCAAAAATATGAGCAAGAAAGTTGTGTGGACTCATTCCAACACATTACAAAAACACTTTCCCTCACCACATCTCTCTTATTTCATTTCCTCTCATCCACACTTGAGATTTACATAAATCCCATTTCATCCAGAGGAATAATGTCCTACCATTAATAATAAATAGGCTGCTATATTTCCTTCCTCCTAGGAATATATAGCATTTATATATAATTTTGCGTAGGACTGATGATCTCTTCTTCATTCTAAACCTGTTCTGTGGACATTGATCAAACATACCTATTTTAGAGTCATACTATGTATACCTAATATTATGTAAATAGTTATGAAAATTATAAAGAGAATAAAGATAAAGTTATTAAGTAGGTTTTTGGCGTTAAAGAACCTCCATTTGGGGCTCTGAAGTCTCTTACCAGTAGTCCCAAGAATTCCAAAGACATTGAGCCTTCCTGGTTTTTATTTACATTCCTAGGTAGCAAGATACTAGTGCCTTTTAAAACAGAAAGGAAAAAAGTAAAACAAATTTTATTATAAAATAATATTTATATAACATATATATGGACTAATACTTTTAAGACTCCACTCAGTTTCTGATACCATTGAGGATGAGAAATGTTTAGATCATTTAGAAATTAAATAGTTCAGAAGACTAGTCTTTCATTCATTTTTCTGTCCCCTTCTCTCAGCAGTCTAGTTTCACTCATGGAATTTCAGAGATATAGTGAAGGCCTAGAAATTTAAATGAAACCACTGGGTGGGCAAAATAGCAAATATGAGTACTATATAGTTGTCATTCTTTGTTTCAAGTCTCATCCATATACAGCCATTAGTACAAAGATGCCACAGAGGCAGCAATGTCTTCAACTGTATGTGTTCAGTGGGAGGATCTAGGCTGGTTTCTCATGTGCAGGCTTCTCTAATAATGATAAATCTGTAGTTTCCATTCATTTATTATGCTCTAGAAGAATGTATCGCTAAGGATCCACAACAAGTTATTTGAAGATGTGGTGTGTAAGCAAAGCTTTGCTGAGGTTTCTGGAATTTTCCTTTGATTTCAGTTTGAGTCTTAGAGCTTTAAATGTCAAAAGCAAAGGTATGGTTAATGGCATTTTTTTTTTTTTGGAGAGCCGAGATAAGACTGTGTACATCTGTTAACACTTCACCAAATGTACCCATCAGGATTAAGGAAAAACAATATGTTCCTTTAAAAATTCTTATCTTTGGCAACCACCTCAAGAATTCCTTACCAGCCGTGTAGAGAGACAGAGCCCCTTTTTGTTACAGAACTCACGGTACTACTTTCCTTTTTAAGTGAATATATATAGCATGCATGTTTATTTATGCTATTTTATTACATGGTCTATTTAATAAATTTATCATTTGAAATATTTTACTCCATGTTATATAATTATAAGTATACTCTAAAAACCAAGGATGAAAAATGACCTTTAACATATATCTTGTGGGGTCACGCTATTAGACTTCTGTAAGTGTTCATACTCAGCTGAGCTCTTCAAAGACTGGAACTTTAATCAGAGATGGCAGTGGGCCTAGGTGTGGGCTGAGAAGAAAATCTATTTTCTGACATATGAGCTAAATTGACTAATTAAAAACTCAGGCAGGTGACTTTTAGGGAGGCTAACTACCAAAAGAAATAACCTGCTGAATCATCCATCAGATTTCTTTCAAGGGATGAAAGTGTTTTTGTTCTCCCTTCTTATTCTGATTCATTCTGATTCTGATATCTGAGAGGATAGGGGTGAACTTTGCATAGAGCTTGTTATAATTTTTGTAATTGTCTTGGTTTTTGTCGAATTGCTGACTGGAACAGACTTCAGTTGAGTCTAGTTTTCAGTGCATTTTTCAGTAGGCCGTTTCATAACATACTTAGAGTATATTAGAGGCATTTTACACACACCCTACGTGTGCTAAATCCCTGGCTTTGTTTTATGTCTTTTATACCCATGTGTATACTTTATCTGATAAGTATACTGTTTGTAATAGCATATTTTCCAGTATATTAAAATGAAAAATATTGGTAAAAAAAGCTTTAAACAAAAATTTGCCTTTATTTTTCTTAGGTCATATATCTTGTTTCCATATCCTGATTCATATGTTAATTCATATATAATACAAATGTTTGATGCACAATTTAATTTGTCCATATCACTGAGAGAAAACCACAGGAAGTGTTATGTTCTTCATTATTAAAGGCGCCTATAAGCATTTGAGTGCTGTACATTTTGTTGTAAGCCTCTTCTAGAACAATAGCTGTATTACTGTACTGTACCTACCTATAATACTATATTACTCCACAGTGCCTAATTTAGGACTTTATACTTAGTAAATACTTGTGGCATATGCTTTCAATTTGGAATGAATGAAATTCAATCAAAAGCACATTTATAATATAAAAGGCATCACTGAATAAAATAGATTTTTGTGTATGTTAATTAATATTGAATAAAGAGGATAACTATCACTCTTTGACACAGTGATAACATTAAGATCATAATTTGAATAACTGCCAGTCTTGGGAGCTTATTCGACAGTGTAATCCAGCAGATGGAAAATTATAAGAACCTAGAGACAAGGCTGAGGCACAGCAGATGATTGGAGGATGTCCCAGAAACAAGCAATAGGAGAAGGCTCCATGTGGTGGGATATTAGCATAAAGGAAGCACATCAATCACAACCAGGCAGTATCCAGTGGATACACAGACCTTTCGTCTGAGGTGAATCCAGTGTCAGATCCAAGCAGTATTAAGGAGTATCTAGCAGTGGTGACATAATTACAGTACTATAGTTCAGGACTATGACTCTCATCTTTGGGAGGATTTGGATCAAGGCGGGACATTAGTAATAAAAATGATAATAGCTGCCATTTATCAGGCAGTTACCATGTACCCTGTACTGTGTTATCATAAGAATCTTAACAACAGCTTTATGAGAAAGGCACTTTGATCTTCCCCATGTTGCATAAGGAGAGATTTAGCAACCATGAGTGAAAGAACTTATTCATGGTTGCTCAGCTAGTAAGTTATGATTTGTGCCCAAGCACTTTGGTTCCAGAGTCTGCATACTTAATTGCTACCACTTCTCAATTCATTAGTTGGATAAATCGAAAACTTTAGAAAGGCCAAAAAATAGGTCAAACAATGACGAGAAAGTAATTTTGCCAGCAATGTTAAGAATTGGGAAATGGTTCTAAGTTTAGTGAATCAAATGATCAAAATGATCCTGCTTATGGATCTTCCAGAGCTGTACAAAATCTGTATCATTAGGAAAAAGAGAATAAGTTATGTGTAAGATACAGTATAGAGTTGAGGGGGTGCACAACATAATTTGTTAATAGATGTTCAAAGAAAAAAAATTATTTAGCAAATCAGTAAAGTGGCATTGGTCACAGCCTTTGGAAAATGGGATGTAGAGAAGAATGAAATGCATTTGCCACATTTGATTTAGGCCACATCAAGACAATCAGGCTGGAGTGCCTAAAAATAGATTGTTTATAAAGAGTAGATTACTGTAACTTAGTGTTGAGTGTTTGTGAGCTGATAATTGAAAATTCAGATATAAAAAGAGAGAAACAAACATCAAACATTTCTTGAGCACCTGTTGAGGCTCTATCAGAGCTGTGGGCACAAATTACAGAGCAAAATAAGAACAAACCTTGTGTGGCTAGAACCTACAGGCCACTGAATTAAAGATCATTTTGAAATATGTATCAATGCTGTTCCTCCCAGAAAAAAAGGAAATATGTCAGACGAAAACTGAATCCGGAAAAATATTAGGCTAAAGAGCGGTGGCAGTAACAAGTGACAACTCTTGAGGTCACAAGAAATAGAAGGATGTGTTCTCCATTTAACAGCCTGAAGAATACAGTTTCTATGAATCAGGGAACAGAAGTAAGTCAAAGGAGACAGTTTTATAGCTCTGCTTTATCATATAAGTATGTTTCACACAAAATAGTAAGAGGTCTTCAGTTCAGGGTGCATCAGAAATGGTTACCAAACTACTTCATGAACAGCATCTGGATAGAAGGCTTCATACATAAAACAATCTTTTGGCAACACATCAACACCTGTGAATCGCCTCAGCGGAGAATGCTGCTTTTTTTCCCCTAGCCTACCTCCTGAAAAACAATGTCATTTAATGGAAATATTATTAGATCAATGGATGGATGGGAGGGAAGGGGCAGAGAGAGAGAGAGAATAGATTTTAATCATAATTTTGGAGATTGGGGGGGTTGAATTTAAATACAGGAATAAAATTAAAGACCAGAAAAATTAATTTTCTGGGGGAATATGACATGCGTTCAGTAAATCCTCTTTAGTAGTAGATTTATCAAATTGTGAATCTACATTTTGAATAATTATAAAATTGCAATTGTTCCACTTTTCTCAGAAGTATACTCAGTTGAAAGCTTAAAGAACTTGTCATTTGTGTATAAAGTATGTCTAGGTGTTTTAGACACAAACTCAGTAAGTGATAAATTCCATAATCCATTGGTCATTCTTGTGTTTCTTTATTGAACCCGACAGCTGTGTGTCAGCTGTGTATCAGGCCATGGAGAAACAGTAGGTAATTGGCACAGTCCCACTGTGGTTGCACTCTGCTCTGCTTCTTTCAGAGAAGTATTTGCTAACAGTGTAGAAGTATGTGCTAATAGTATGTGCTAATAATGTAGAAGTAAATAGGAAAACAGGAATGGAAAACATGATTCTTATGAACTTGCTCATGTATGCATGGTGATGGAAATAGTACTTCATAATCACAGAACAGTGCATCAGCTGAGAACTCCCTGTGCTGAGTACATAAATTCAAGCATCCATTCCATATAAAAATAAAAGCAAAAGTCACTTGTACCATGTGCACAAAAGAACTTCTGCCATGTGCATGAGTGAGCTTGATAATCAAGCTTTTCAGTTCATGCACTTTCACTTAGTTTATCTCTAGGAGCTTTGTTCTCACCTTTTTTGGCAAAGGAAAAGTGACTGAAAACACACCAAAGCACAGAATGCTTAACTTCATGTTGAAATAACTAATACTCTCCAGTAGAGGAAGGCAATCTAAAAAGACAGTTTCAATTCTTAAAAACTAATATCTAAAGAAATGAAAGAAATAATATAGAATGATAAAACTGGCTGTTCTATGATTTTCATAAAGAAAAAAGCTGTAAAAAAAAAAAGTAAAACACATGATTTCACTACACATAAAAATTTCTAATGTTTGAGTTTTGTAGTGAAAACACATGATTTCACTACACATAAAAATTCCTAATGTTTGATAATCACATATGTGCACAGATAAATCTGTGATATGACTAATGCTGAAGATAATCATCACCTTTGCCCAGTCAGTTCCTTAATAAAGATCACACTAATTTAGAAATTCTTGTGATGTGTTTGTGAGATTTTTGAGAAGCAAGATTGAAACTATGGCTCATATTTCATAAGTTTCCCCCCGGGTTTTATTTGGATATGGGTAGGAAATATTTTTGAATACTTCGGATTCTTTTGCAACTGTCTACTGAGTGGACTGCCTTTTGCAAATGACCCATTTTTATACCATCGGAGGAGTTTCCTCAATATCACATCTTTAAAAGAAATCAGGAATCTGGTTTCAAATCCTCCCATCTTGTTTGGATCTCCCTACCTCATTTAGAGACTGAGGGGTTTGAGTTATTTTATCTCCCAAGTCAGTCCCAGTCTTAAAAGTGATCCCAGCAAACTGCCTAGGTACTTTGAGATATTTGAACAGATTCAAGAAAATCTCAAATCACATTGAAAGAAGTTGCCATTGCATCCATATGGAAGCACAGAACTAAACTTGCCAACAGTTGCTGCTCATTACAGCTGATATGCTATAAATGGTTGTTGACACTAAGACCAGATGTCATGGAAAATCCTGCATCATTAGGAAGCAGTTGGGTGGGGAAGGAACCTGTGTGTGAGAATGTCAGTAGAATCTATTTAAAAACCGACCTAAAAAGTGATTGCATTATAGGAATTTAGAGATAATCTCAGTGTATAAAGATTAGCATAATAGATTGCATTAAATTTAGGAATATAGACATCCCCCAAGTTATGCACATTCATTGCAAATATCCAGTGTCCTGCACGTTGACATGGTCAGCTGCACTGGAGTATAATAGCTAATCACTAACGTGTATATTGTTCCATACCGAGGACAGGCTCTTGGAATAAAATCCAATGAGATTTTATAACTTCATATATAGTGCTATGAGCAATATGCTTATAATGTTCATTTGAGAGATGAAAGAACTAATTAGCTCCAAGAGTCTTTGAGTTGCCCATGTCCACACAGTTAATAACAGTCAGTTCCAGGACATAGACCTAGCTCTTCATCTTTTTTCTAGATCATCATGTTGCCCATTTCTCTCATGTTCAGCTATACACTGGAAGACCTTTGTTTCTGATTTCACCTTTCTCATTTGCTTTAGAAAATCAAAATAGTTGAATAGTAGCAGGTAATGGTGGTGATCCTTTTAAGGAAGCAGCCACTAATTAGCTGAAAGATTCTACTATTTCAGCTTTTGTGAAATACAATCACAAATTATCTTCTTTTCTGTAGGTGTTCAGAATTTGGATTAACCTACTTGCCAGGGAACTTTTGTAGTACAACGCATATTCAAGTTGGATGCTATATAAATGGTAGAACATGATTACAGGATTATTCAAATTTTGAATGTATTCCAAACAGTTGTATATAAATCAAATTTGTGTGCTATTTCTAATGTTTCATTGAACCTGGCCATTAGAAGCAATCTTGTGATGAAATATTTTATAAAAAAAAGAATCCTTTAATAAAGGCAGTAAGCATCCTGATTTTTCAGTTTGCATTCCATAATTCTGTATTTTAGGTTTGCTTAAAAGATATATACAAACACGAAGCCATTTTAGTTCTATTAATTCTTAAATCTACACAGTAACCTTGAAAGAGCCCTGCCTTTTCCTGTACATAACTGCAGCTGAACAGTCTTCATGGGTATAAGGTAAAACACTTATCCAGATGGATTAATTATTTCCCTGGATGACTCACAAGGCCCTATAGAGAGGTCTTCTAGGTCATCTCTAGGTATGAATATTTGCCCCAGTCATTCAGAGGCCATGTATGATAAAACTCTAAGGTGTTCCATTTCTTCTGAATTGGCAGATACTTGGTATTTAAGGGCGTAAGGCACACAGCACTGCCCAGAACCTTTTTTGATCTAGTGATAAATATTTTAAAAGTTTATTTACTGATGGCACTGGCATTTGCTCAACAAACTTCAGTACTACTTGATTAAAAGACCTAAAATGACGTGATTTCTAAAGTAATTGGAACTCTTTCCTTGAATAAGTCTGTGGTTGACAAATTAGGACAGATGTGTATTAGCAGAGATCTCTGACATCTCAGTGCTTTTGAATGTGAAGGTTATAAAGAATTAAACTATTGCTTACAGTTTGATGTGGTTTTTCCAAGTCATTTATTTAATAAAAACTGGAAATCACTTTGTGATTAAATTAGAAAATGCATGAATGTAGTAGGCCATAAATTTTAGTTGTGAAAATAAAATGTCAAATATTAATAATATAATATGGTTAGATACTGTACTACATTAATAGATAACCAGAGTTCCAAGTAATTGTGGATGTTAGGTTTTTACTAAAGGTTATTTCAGCATGGAGACCTTTCATATTCTTGAGACATCTTCATCCCAGTGTCCAAACTAAATTATGATGTATTTAGTGTTGAGGTAATTTAAAAAGCCCTATCAGCCCTAAGAAATTACAGAGCTTTCCTTACAGTTACCTATTGTCATAATAGTGATGAATCTGATGGCAGTGAACAGCAATAGCCTGAAGAAGTCTGGTACTTGATTAAAACTTACGTGCCTACACTCCTACTTCTTATAAACTTAACCTAATTTTTCCAAGTTCTGGTTATGAGTCTTTGCTAATTTGCATGGCTGGCTTAATTAATAAATTAAATATTGGTTTAGGCTGTGTTTATACAAGCTCAAAACAATCAACAGAATCGCCTAATTCAGTAAGAAAAAAGTAGCCATTTCATGAAAAAAAATATTGAATTAGTTTGCCAACACATAAACAGAACCACTTTGAATGACCTGAATATTTAGATTTCCAGACAATTGTTTTGGCACTTGTAGACTCCATTGTTTCCCAACTTCTTTCAGTCCAAGGCACACCTCTAAATTGGCTGGGTTTTAGCCCAAGGTAAGAAAATGTTGAACTACTCTCCCAAATGTGTATGTACCAATCCAGCTGTATGTTCATCCAGATACCTGGGGATGGTAGACTTCAGTGTATGTATTAATCAGCCTCTTTTTCCTGACCGTCTTCTCCCTTCATTTCCTAAAATCCACAAAGGTGGTCAGGGGAAATTAAAGACTTTGCCCTCGTGCCTGTTTTTAGAGTTGCAGTGTGTCTCGATGCTCTCGTTGGGAAACAGTGGTATAAACACAGCCTTATTCCAAGACCGAGTTATCAGTCCTTGAATAATGATAAATACCCAAGAAAATGAAAATGTATCTTTGTTATAGTATTCCAAGATGTGAGAACAAATATATAAGGAATGCTTTGAATCACACTTTGTAGACATATAAATTATGTTTTAAAAAACTGGCTTATAAGGAAAAAAAAGCTAACTATAACATTTGGCAAATAGTATACTCTTTCTGCCTTTAAGAATAAACAGATTCTTAAAGACAGCAATTTAATATGTAATTCAGAATAAGACTCCAAAATTTGTACAGAAATTGTTTGGAAACATTGAGGAATCAAAATGACTACATTTGGGTCCAAACTCTTGAAGTCAACTAGGATTTAATTTGCACAGTTTCATTTGCCAAATGTCTGTAGATTGGTCCAACTCTTGTTATCATTTTGCCAAGTTTCCTTCTGCTGAAAATGTCTGTGCTCTATTAGGCTTCTAAGTCAATGTCCATGGCCAAGTCTGGACCTCAGCAGCCCTTGGAAGCATGTGAGCAGGTCAAGACAGGTGCTTCCGTTCATTTGATCTCTCCCCAAGTGTATTCTCTCTTCTTCCCCGTATCTCTCTAGTATATTTATGCATCTGTCTGAAGCCTGCACACATGATAATTTTTAATCATTTTTCTAACCACATTTTCCCTGGGATTTAGGAATGACAGTCTTCGCGAGAGAGGACAGTGCATGACTTTTTTTTTCCCCTAATCTTACAAAATGTTGTTAGTTTTGAATAGTCACTTAAAATAGGTTCTCACTTCATTCTCTTTTTTTCTTTCTAAATAAAGCCTGAGAATTTGCTTTTAGCTAGCAAATCCAAGGGAGCAGCTGTGAAACTGGCAGACTTTGGCTTAGCCATAGAAGTTCAAGGAGACCAGCAGGCGTGGTTTGGTGAGTAGGGCTTCTCTCTACTTCATGCTGCTCATTCTCTTCTGGCTCATCATGACCCACTTCCCAGCCAAAATAAGACAGAAATGTTACTTCTAACAACAGCCTGACTAAACTGAAGACATTAGACCTTTATAAGCATTTAATTTTACTGACATTAAAAGGTATATGATCTAGAAATAATTTAAGAGAAAAGATTAATAGGAGAGCAGTAACATGTAGACTTTTTCTTAAAACATGAGTGAGAAAATGGATCCTGTACTAAGAATTAATAGGGAGGGTTGCATTGTTAAAAGAGGACTTTTTAAGAGAAAATGACCTTTCACATAGAACCTTACTTGATGTGATGCCAAAAACTGCTGTGTAAATAGTAGGGACTCAGGAAATACAGAATATTTCCACATATTTTGTAGCTAACAAATTAAAGTTTAAAAATATTATAGCATATATATGTGTGTGTGTTCATCTTAATTATCTTCTGTTTCTTCACACTGCCAGTTTCCGCTCTAAAATTTTGATAATTTCGAAATTTCTTTTGATGAATTGTCTATTTCTTTACAATTAAGAAAGAAATTAACTCTCAGTTTAAATTAGAGCACTTCTAACCAGGCTTGTGTATTGTTTCAATATTTATCCAGTTGGGTTATTTTATTCACTGTTTCTTTTTTTTATGCCTCTGTTTTTGCCGTTTCCCAGTACTGACCCATTTTTTTCCATGTAGTCTCCCAAAATATAACCTCTCCCCAAGCCTCTATCTTACTTCTTTTCTGACTTTCAATGTATTGAGGTTAGATCATTTTTAAATGCCCTTCACTTCTAATTGCTTTTTCCTCTGAACAACAACAGCAAAGAGAAAGAGCACTCAAAAAGTGCTTACTTCTTTCATTTTATATGCAAAGACTTTCCGTGTTTTCCTAAATCTAAGGTGTGCACAGAGCCCCCAGCTAATAAGTGTGAGTGGGTGGCGTGGCAGCCTTCTCCTCTACAGGCAGCTTAATTTAGGACCTCATTTTCTGCTTCCTGTCCTGTTTCAGTAGTACCTGACTGTTAGCCTTGTCCACGATTCCTCCTAAGCTTAATACCACCATTTACATTAAGTCTCTCCTCACCCACCAGATGAATTTAGTATCTCCAAACTTGGCATTTGGTTTGTCATATTTTGACATATGAATAAGCTTGTTCTTCTTAAATGCGCACTGAAAGAAGGTAGGACCTAGAATAAGTACTGTAAATTGGAGATTCAGAGGCATCTTTGTATCCTGGGTAAGGGCACAGTTGACACAGATAAAGAATATATGGTAACTTTGGAGTTGAGGTCCAACAGAAGGTAGGAAGGCTATCACAGAGATGGGCAGAATAATAAATGGAAATGCTTAAATTAAGCAGGAGGTCCTGCCCCTCAAGATACTGACATTTCTGTATCGGTAGCTATTTACCATGTAGTGTGGGAACATCTTAACAGAGGCATGCATGAAGGTGCTCTGGGGAAAGTTTTGGTGTTTGGGGTAGTACTTCTGCTTCCCTAATGGGTGAATGAGAATTTGTTCACTAACATGCAAGGAGATAAATACCAGACAGAGGGATCAGCACATGCGAAACCTCAGAGGCATGAAACTACTGTTTCTATTTGTGGAATAGCAAGAAGTTTGATATAGCTATACTGGGATGAGTGGTAGTTGATTAGGTGGGAAAGGATTTTGTGTGCTTTTGAAGGATTTGGCTTTTATCCTAGAAGTTTCAAGAATCCTGTGAAAAATTTTAAGTAGGGAAGGACATAATTGGGTTTATGTTATATAATGATGTTGTGCGTAACAATGCAGAGTGTGGCTTAAGGATACTTACTCTCAAGGCAGGGGACCAGTTAGGCTAATACAGTAGTTCAAATTATGCGCGATGACAGCTTGAACTAAGGAGTATGCAAGAGCAAGCAAATTCCAGATAACATGTAGAACAGACAGTGACTGAACTCTTAAGGAAGTCCGTTTAGAGGAAATCAAAGCCCCAGAGGTTGGACTCTAGTGCCATCTAGTCCCATCTGCTTCACAAGACTCAGAGTATGAAGCAGGACACCAGAATAGGACGTAGGCTAGGGATCTAATTGCCAGAACTGGGTAGAAGGTGATGATAGGATATTACGAACAAGACAAGCCTTATTATCAGAGTCAAGTCTGCAAATTAATATCAGCAGCTTGGCTTTGTGTATAAAGGTGTGATATAATTGAGCACCTTAAATATCCCTTGTTTTTCACCTCTGTGTTTTATCTCCCGTGCTAGACAAGCTGCTTGAGGGCAGGATTGTGTGTAGTAGAAAAAATTCTGCTTTTTGAATTAGAATACCCAAACTTATATCCTGGGTCTGATTCTTAATAGTTGTATAATATTGGGCAAGTCACTTTAACTCTGTAAGGTCCATGTCCTCTTTTGTAAACAGTGATAATAAACACTTCTTTGCAAGGCTGTTATGAGTCCATAGGAATATGCCTGGGCTACGAAAGATGTTGAATAAGTTTTCAAAACCATCTTGGCATGAAACACGATGCCACAGTTCTTTGCCTGCTCAGTGAAAGTTGTTAGCAGATCAATGAGTAAAAAACGAAATATCAAGTTGGTGAAGGCAATAGCATCCAAATAAAAGTACACAAATTTGTGATCATTTATTTCTAAAAGTCATCTGATTCCAGAGAAAGAATGACAAATTGGGAATAAAATCCCCATTTCTTCTTCAGTATGATGCTATAACAGTTATGTTCTTGCTAAGATATCTATTAGAGTAATGACTTTCAAGGGGGCATTTTAAGTCCTAAGAAAATTCCACATTTCAAAAAATGTAGAAAAAACATAGTTTATAAGCTTAAGAGAATGCACAAATTGTTTTTTTTCTTTTTCTTTTCTTCTTTAGCTTATTTTCAGCTTATTATATGCAAGTGAATCCTCATGGTAACCTACCTGAGGAAAAGGAGGCATGTGATATACTATTTCTCTTTTGGGTGTACTACCAGATATATCATAGATTTTAAAGTAAAAGCATGTTTTAGTATGAGTGACTTGATTTGATATTTATTCATATCTACCATCATAGTCTCATATATTTGATTATTTTTTTATTTAAATTAAAGTTAATTAAGATTATAGTGTATTACTAGTTTCAGGGGTAGAGCTTAGTGATTCATCAGTTGCATGTAACACCCAGTGCTCATTACATCAAGTGCCCTCCTTAATGTCCATCACCCTTGACTGATTAATTTTGTCTCTTAAAATGTATTATCAGTGATGGGGAGGGGAGCCTTTTTATTTTAATAAAATAAGTTATTTTAAGACAAGAGCAGAACTCTTTCTTCATTACATATAATGCCAGAATTTCAGGCTTTTGCTCAATTTTATTTTAATAAATATAAGAGGTCCACTACAAATAAGAAAAATAAAACTACACAAGGCTTATAGAAGCTGCTTATTGTGTTTTTTTTCTAATTTTTAAGTCTAAATGTTTCTTTTTCTCATGATTTCTTCTGTCTTCCTAGCCTTGATCTATTGGATTACTAGCCAGAAATGCTAGAAGTAACACCCTGTGTCACTACACTTGTTAAGATGGCTAGAAAATTTACCAAAGAGAAATATCAAAATATAGCCCATTTCTCCTGTAGGATTGGAAGCGGTGTTTGCAGTATATTTCCAGTTCTTTGTTGCCGCTAGGAAAAAAGGATAACTGCCACCATTTTCCTTCATGGAATAATTGTTTTGCTTGATTGCTATTATGTCTCTTTTTAAAAATATTGAGGGTTTTTTTTTTAATGCAATGGACGTTCCCAACAGTAAGTAATTATGTTTTGTTTTTGATCTGTTCTGATGATATTCCTATTGGTTTTTCAGAGTGAGAAGCACATACTGTCTCTAAAGAAAACAAGCTGTCATTAATTTCCCTGTTAATAGCATATGTCATGATAAATGAGATTCTTGTGAGTTTAATCTCCTGCTAAAGAAGGTTTTATCTGTCTTACCCTGAGTATTTTGGTATTCATGAGAACACATTGCCCAGTTCACAGTTCCTTAATGTTTATACATTTAGAGTATGTTTCAATAGGAGTAAGGACCCCACTGACTGCTCAAGTGGTAATTATATTAAATTAAAGAATGAACGTGATGGTATTCTCTAAGCATTTTAATTTCCAGAAAAGGTTTGTAATAATTTACATGTAAAATTACCTTTTCATTTCTTAGTCACATGGTGAGTTCTTTATCTTTTCTACCTAAACAAAATATCATTAACATTTCCTCCTCTAGGAAATGTATTCTAAGATATTTAAGACCTATTTTAAGGTTTACTAATTCTAGATAGGAGGTTATAGATTGTATATAAAAAGGTAGTCAAAATTCAAAGTGAGGATGGACCACTGAGAATTGTAGTTAGCTAAGGAGATCTCTAAATGGAAGTAATTTAGAGCCAACTCTCTGTTAGAGAAAAGGTAGAGATGGAAATTGAGGCTTCAAGGAACAGAAAAAGTAACATCAAGGGCAAGAATGAGAAGTCTGTTTTCAAGAGACCTTAAAAAAATTAACCAGGTCAAATGCTCAGGGGTAGAAAGAAATCATGTTGGATGAATGAAGGGGAACCGGGAGATAAAGGGTCTTAAAGCGTGGGCTAGGAACATAGTCTTCAATCTGGAATTGGACATTGGTTTCTCATTGGGTTCCTTTGTCTGTGTCTCAACTTGGGAGGAGTTAGAAAGAGACCATTGGACTGAGAGCAGGTGTGGCATACCAGTAGTTCTTTAGAACTCTTACGCCCATCCCTCCCTTGGAATTAGCGGACTTCACATCACTCCTTGATGGAATCCTCACACTTTAGGTAATGGGACCACCATGATTACTCAGGAATTCTTTCATCTCACAACTGTCAAGTAAATCAAAGTAAATGCTTCCTTTAAGTGAAGTTTGAGAACAGAGGTAGACCCACTGTGGTCCATGTGAAGCTTAAACTACAGTACAGGCATCTTTTCTTGGAGTCCCTTCTCACTGTCCACTCCATCCTCCTCTACAACAAAGGAAAGGAAAAGCATTACAGGGGCGTAGGGGTTAAAATCCACAATCCTTTGCCTCACTTTCCAAGGTAATTTTGTTCAGAGGAATAACCATGCTATTACATATATATACACATACATACATACATACTTATTTTTATACTTGTTTTTGCACATTGTTCTTAATAAGTTTGAAAAATAGTAAGAAAAAGCTCCTTTCTTGGGCACTTTGAATCCCATTAAATATGTAATGAGCTTCTTCAGTGATTTGTGGTCAGAGGAATTCCTGATTACATATCCTTTTAAAGAAATGTTTCCAGTTTTCAAGTGTGCCTTTATGGAAAACTTCCAAATAGTTATTTTGGGTCTTTTTAAAAGTAGCTATTTTTATTTGAAAGCTATTATTTTCAGAAATAAGAAGAAAAATGTCACTCGAGGGTCTAGCTCTAAATTGATTATTTAAGCATACCTCATTGGAGTTTACACTGATTTATACAATAATGAAACTTTATTTTGCCATCTAGTTTCTCTTACCATGTCTCTTTCTTCAAATTCTAGTTGATACTTGTTCAATAGTGATTTATCCAAATGTTCCTGAGTCTTCTCTTTAGTTGACAGTTATTAAGTACACACTGACTATTTATTAGTACACAGCAATCTCTTTGATATATTTAGGGCTTATTCCTTCTCCTGGTGAATTCTTCAATTACTCTCAGCCCCATCCCCACCCCTGCCTTACTTTCAAAAATATTTACTTAGGGTCTATGTTTTTGTTCTTTTGTTTTATAGGTGAATGCTTCTCATAATAAAATTATGTCGGTATCATGATAACTATCATCTCTTCCAAGGTTCTAACCCTATCTTCAAATTTCTCCCTATTTCTTTTCAGGTATGGGGGAGGAAAGACTTGCTCTCCCCTCTTAGGTCCGTCACTGGGGCGTGTGAGTTGAACTGACAAAAGACTGATGAACAGGAGAAAAGCATACAATTTTTTTATGTTAATATTTTAACTTTTACATACACACAGAGGCCTTTCTAGAAAATAAATGAAGACCTGAAGAAAGGGCAGACCAAGGGACTTATATCCCATTTTAACAAAGAGTGATAAATTATGGAGATTTGACAAGACAAAGGAAAAAGGGGGTTTAGCTCAGGACATTAAATTGTGGGGAAATAATGAGGAAACACATAGGGAAACTAATGGAAGATCAAGGTTATTTTAGTAAGGTTGGTTTGTATAGATCCATCTTGGCACCAATTCCCATGCCAGGAATGTTCTCCTCTTCCTGGTACAGGGAGGGCACCTTTTTCACAAAAAATTTTATGCCCTACTTTTAGGTAGAAGGGAGATTAAAGAGCCTGTTATACATCTACTGATTCTCAGTTGCCTTCAGCTAAAAATAATCAGTATGCCACAATGGCATATTTTGGGGTGATATGTTCTGATCCCCTTCACAGGTTTAGTTTCAAATCCTGCATAAGTAAGTGAGAATAAGAACTGCTAACCAGATAGACTTAAGTATACATGCTGACTATATAGCATAATACAGTAGCCTTCATATTTAGGGGAAAAATGCATTTTTTTCTAATAAGCTACAAAGCAGATTAGTGTTGATACTGCTATAGAGAAAAACTAGTGTAGATTATTTTAGGCCTTGTTTTATTTTGATAAACAGATCATCAGATTAAAAAGTCCGAAAAATGTTTTTTTCCTTAGTTTCCCGTTTCACATTGGTTTTGTCAAATCAACTCTGACTCATTAACTTCCGTTTTCCCTAGGTTTTGCTGGCACACCGGGCTATCTTTCTCCAGAAGTTCTACGTAAAGATCCTTATGGAAAGCCAGTGGATATGTGGGCATGCGGTAAGGAATCATATTTCCTTGCAAATTTTGCAGTACACCAGTATGATTGAAAATATTATCTTTCAGATTTGAAGTTAATGCTCTCTTGTGATCACCCTAGAGTAGTAGTTCTCAAACTTCAGCTGACAACAGGTCACGTGGAGGGCTGGTCAAAGTACAGATGACTACTTCTGACTCTGTAGGTCTGGGGTAGGAGCATTTGTGTTTTTCTCAAGTTCCCAGGCGACGTTAGTGTTTCCAGTGTCAGGACGCACTTGGAGGCCAGGGACACAGAACGCCCCCAGTGGCGGCCGTGCGTTTATGCTGCGGTCGTCCTGCCTCATTCAAGCGGCCCTTACCGCAAATACCATGTTTGCATGACATGTTTGGCAGGGATTAAGAGAGAAAAAATGGATCTTGAAAAAGAAGGAAACTGGTCCGTCCTATGGACTGAACTCTGATTTAGGCCTTTAGCAACCAACTCCAATCAAATAAGTATCCTGTGCAGGCTCAAAGACACATAATATGGAAGATTCCCACCACAGTTTTTAAACAGAATTTCTGTGTGTTAACATATCCAGCAAATAGGTGAAAACTGAAATAAAAGGGATACTATAGGATGCTCTGAAATATTTTTCAGCTGGGGTTATTGACACAAACTAGTCCTCTAGGTTCCTGACACTGTGTCATCACTACAAGTTTGTAAATTGTTTGGCTTTAGTGTGCTGCAGACAGACCTTGTTGCCTTTGGTGTTTGTCAGTGAGCCTGGAAGAAGTGGGTTAAAAAAAAAAAAAGACTTTATTTTGATTCTGAAAATAACTTTTTAGATTTGGTTTTACTGAAAAAACAATCATAAATTCATTACCACTACTTTGTAGTAATAGGTTTTCCCTAACCTGTATCTAACCACACTATATTTCTTGTCAGCTTTATCTCATTAACATAGCAACTTGGCATTTGATCTTAAACTGGATGCATCTTGGGCCTTTAGGCTTATCTCCATGCCTAGGGAAGCAGTTATGGGAGGAGCATTGTATCTGGAGTCGCAACACCTGCATTCAAGTCTTTGCTTTGCACCTATGAACCCTATCTCTAGTATCTCTGAGTTGGGTTCTTCACCTGTAAAACAGGAAAATATTACCCTCATAGGATTGTATGGGGGTCAAATAAAGACATTTTATAGTTTGTAAAGAAATTTAAAATGCAAACAGCTATTACTCTAAAAGGTTGGATTAATTAAAGGGTAAGGTCTTAGGTGTGCTCCAAGCTCTGTCTTCCTCCTGCCTACCTGAGAAGATCTTCTAAGCCTGGACTCTATGCCTTTGGGTGAGGGCATTGTCACAGAATGTCCTTGTTCAAATCTAAATGCTAATGGCAAATAACTCACATATTTCCCTTGCAACAGATCAGCTCTCATCGCAGATCTGTCTTTGCTGATGAATTTAAAAAGCAGCAAAGTCTTCCTGCTGAGGGGCAGGCAGACACAGATGGGTTTTATGGAGGATACTGTTCAGGGGAGTGTAGCTGGTGTGCTGCACTCAGACCCCGAACACCCGCGGGTTAGTGTGGTAGAGACCGGTCAGTAGCTGAGGCAGAGGGCACTCAAGAGGCTTTCCTTGCTGCCTTCATCAGAAGGTCACCTCTAGCCTCCTCCCACCTCCCTTTTTCTTCATCCCTTCTCCTTTTCCTCTCTCTCCTCCTCCCTCCCACCTGCTTCACAGGCAGGAGACAGGATGTGCAGCGGCTGCGAGCCCTCACCCAGCTCTTCAGTGCTCTTGCTGTAGGAGCTGGCACAAATTTTAAGTAGTCCCAGTATCTCAGCTTCCTTGTATGAAATGGAAAGTAAGAAACTATTTCTTTATAAACGAAGTTTCTGGATATCTGATATGTAGCCATGTGGGAGATACACATTTTGTTAGATGACCCAGTATTATTGTTTTGATCATCAGTTGAATATTATAACTTCATCTGGTTACCTGAATACCAAATACTTGCCTCTCTCTTTGCTTTTTTTGTTCTCCTTTAAATTCTTCTCTTGCATGCCTTTGATTCTGCCAGAGATGTTACTGTGGACCACTTTCACAGCTCCTGAATTGTATTTCATTCATTCAAATACTCTAAATAAATCATTTATTTAATGCTTGCATTAAACACATTTTTTCATAATATGTCAGTTTTATTAGTGCTGAAGAATAACAGATGATTTAAAAGAAACCCAAAAAACTGGTATTTTGTAGTAGGGTTTCTTCCGTGGAGCAGAATCAGTGATAAAACGTATATATATGGGCCCTACCTGGGCCCTCTGCTTTAGTGGGTCTGAGCTGAGTACAGGCTGCAGCATTTTTAATAACTATGACGTATCATCAGAGTTTAGACTGTCTTAGACTCATAAACACACTATTCTCAATTTTAATATTACTTTGGTAAATTTGAGTACACTTGGCTTTCGGGTTTTTTGTTTGAGTGCATCATTTGTATAGCTAACATTTTAAAATGAGGGCATATTTTGTAATAATAGGATTTCACATCTGTAAAATGTGAGGTAACATAAGATAGAAGCTCTAACTTTCTTGGCTGGAAGAGGGAAAAAAGATGGGCAAAGAGTTGCTTCCCTCCTTATTGTCTAAGTTATATAACATTCTTAAGAACCGTAAGCAAAGAGTAGATAGATAGCACATGTGTACCTGCAGATGTATATGCACACACACACAGATCTCATAATGGCTCTGGAAACTTAGAGCCACAGGGCATCTCACAGGTTTCAACCTCAGTTTTGCCATGGGCAGAGCCACCCTTCACTTTGCTCCGTTCTTTTTTTTTTTTTTTTTTTAAGATTTTATTTATTTATTTCAGAGAGAGAGAGCCGGGTAGAGGCAGAGGGAGAATCTCAAGCAGACTCCACACTGAGCCTGATGTGGGGCTCAACCTTATGACCCTGAGATCATGAGATCTGAACCAAAACCAAGAGTCAGATGCTTAACTGACAGCCGCCCAGGATGGCCCCTCACTTTGCTCAGTTCTATCCTTACCTTTGCTTTCTTCCCACAATTTTCTACAAACAGCCAAACCCCTTTGTGACAAGCCATGCTCCATTTAGTGCATATATTTCCTAACAGTTCTCATTTTCCTTAGAGATTGTGACTTTTTTTAAACTGTGTGACTTGAAATGTATTTGGGATCACATGGGTAACTACGGAAATGTCTTAGATATACCAATAGCACATATTTGGGGGAAATAATCCCCCTTTCACGAACATCTTAATAAGGTGTTCTGCCTTTTGTTACATTCCTGGATCACTGCAGTGGGTTTGGAATATTGTTTTACCATTTTATTATATTTTCACTCTGCTCAGGTAACATGAAAGTGACATTAAATTCTCTTTATTTCTAAGACAATCCACCCTTCCTCATCCCCATTATAAGAACCACCAAGATAATGTACACATTATTCGATTGCTTTTAGGTTATGGCATTTCTTGAGAGAAACTCCTTTTTGGCCATCCATCAGGACTAGCTCTTGCCTACTGAATACTTCTTTTCAAAGCTAGACGTTGGGTAGTGTGGTAGGAAATGACACTGCCCAGATAACAAAAGAAATGCAGAATAAGACACTTAGCAGAATGGCAGCTAATCTTCTGTGAATTAAGCTGTGAGCACTCACTACAGCAGAGTGTCTTTTTAGCAGTTGTCATACAGCAGAGTGAAGCACACTATTGGTATAAAAGCTAAAAGAAGCCTGTACATTATTTTTATTAGAAATATGCAAATATTGGTACAGAAGAAATTTTGAATATTTTACTACCATTACCTTGCTTTTGAGACCTCACACAGAATGTAATCTGACCTATATTCAGTCTTTGAAAGCAACTAGTCCTTTACTGGAAAGCAAATAATAGACATTAATGAAGCAAGAACATACCCATGTGCTGTACCATTAACGACAGTAAATTGATTTTGATGGCTTTCTTGCATATATAGCTGTTTCCATAATTCCCCAATGGAATGAGCAAGTGTTGTTTATAGATGTCACTGAATCACTGGATTTTAACAAAACTTGCTTCTACATCTCAGATCAAAAAATAATAAATGTAAGCCCATATAAACATAGCCAATACACACACGCACACACACACACAGACACACACTCACACACTCTTGTCTTAACTACATCTCTATCTGAATTAGATATCACTCAGAACAATTATGAGTGATAATAAGTTAGTGACTATCACAGAATGATCATGACTTTTGATAAACCTTTGGAATATTATGGAATATATTTCTTTTCTTGCATGGCCACTTATAAGTTGTGTGATTACTTGACCTTAGAGCACATGTTTGTCCACAGTTTTTAAGAAAGTATTTACAGTTTTGAAATCTCAAGCCTACTGGACAGTTTGTTGCTATGATTACCTTACACTGGTCAACATTTGTTGCTTATGATTACCAGTTCTGTGATTACCTTACACTGGTCAACATTTGTTGCTTATGATTACCAGTTCTGTGATTACCAGTTCTGTGATTACCTTACACTTGGCCATCACAGGTTTGCCAATTTCAAGGCTCTGTGCCTTCATCCTTTAAGACCCACATTCTCATTAGTCTTCTACCCATGGAGCTTTACTCACAATTATAGCCTCTACCAATATTGTCTTACTCTGAACTTACATATTGTCTTAGATTTCTCAAAATACAATATTTATGGTTTCCCTAACCTGATGATTTACAAACTGTGGATCATGGACCCATGCTTTGAAGTGACCTAAGTGGTAATCAAAATTTCAGCTTTCTGGGATGCACTGGAGGATCACTGAATAAGATTCTCTGTGATGAGTTTCAGGAATTTGCATTTGATCAAGCTTGCTAGCTTATCCTCATGCACACCAATGTTGAACAGCCTTACGTAGATAGTTGCAAATTTCTTAGGGCAGCAAGTTTTACAATTCTTATACAATATAGCAGAGATTGCAAACAGATGGTTTACAGATGTCTTGGCCAGACTGGTGGACCTTTCACTTTC